TATGTTTGTTGTTTAACGGCGCACTCAGCAATATTCCAGCTGTAAATAATCGAGGCTGGACCAGACAATCCAGTGATTTACAGCATGAACATCGATCCACGCAATTGGGTCTTCAGCTCTTCTTCAACCATTACTCTCCAAATGGAAACATTGATATTGATCGTTATTTCATTACACTGTGACATTGTTACCCTAGTGAGCCTCATCTCCTTGTTTTACTGCGGTTTTTATTAGCTCCTCTCTCGTTAATTCCATTGATTTTCTCACGATGTTGTTATCTTTGTACATAAATCATAAACTGTGTAAACGTATCAGGAATTCAGCATGTATATATAATACAGGCATTGTCTCCGGTTCTGTTTTCTTTATATATGGTTGGTTGGTTGGTTTGTTGTTTAACGCCGCACTGAGCAATAATCTAGCTATATGACGGCGGTCTGTAAGTAATCGAGTCTGGACCAGACAATCCAGTGATTGACATTATGAGCATCGATCCACGCAATTGGGACCGATGACATGCATCAACCAAGTCAGCGAGCCTCACCACCCGATCCCGTTAGTCGCCTTTTACGACAAGCATAGTCGCCTTTTATGGCAAGCATGGGTTGCTGAAGACCTATTCTACCCCGGAATCTTCACGGGTCTCTTTATATATAGAAGTTTAAGGAACACCTCTTGAGGAAAATGTCAATGTCAATTATTGAGTTACAGATGGCGTTTCCATTATATATTAAAAGATATGTTCGTGTCACAAAAAACTGGTTTAAAGTTGGAAGTACTTGTAACTATAGTTTACAGACTTTGTATCAGTTGCAAGTAAAGAATTCAAATATAAATAATCTAACTTAGAAAAAAAAGGTCAGAAATATTTTGTACAAATATGGATTTGGCTGGGTTGAGGAAAATCCCCACTGTATTGATTGATAGCACTGCATTGTGTATATCATTCAATTTTAGTTGGTTGGTTTGTTGTTTAACGCAGCACATATTCCAGCTATATGACGGCGGTCCTGTAAATAATCCAGTGATTGATATCATGAGCATCCATCCACGCAATTGGGATCGAGGTCATGCATCAACCAAGTCTGCGAGCCTGACCACCCGATCCCGTTAGTCGCCTATTACGACAAGCATAGTCGCCTTTTACGGCAAGTATGGGTTGCTGAAGACCTATTCTAACCCGCATCTTCACGGGTCGAGTAACAAAATAACGGTAAACTACTTCTGTATAAAAATGTAAAGGAACAGTTTCATTTTGAATCATATTTAGAAACTATATATAAATATACTGTGCATAAATCAAATATTGAAGGGGGAAATGCTTGCCGTAATAGGCGACTATGCTTGTGTAAAAGGCCACTAATGGGATCGGGTGGTCAGGCTCGCTGACGTGGTTGATTCATGTCATCGGTCCCAATTGCGTGGATCGATGCTCATGATGTCAATCACTGGATTGTCTGGTCCAGAATCGATTATTTTACAGACCGACGTCATATAGCTGGAATATTGCTGAGTGCGGCGAAACCAAACCAAACCTATAACAGTGTGGCGTCTTCTTTTGCAAAAAAACCACTTTTATAGTTTTTGCCCCTCCGGGATTAAACCACGTCCTGTTATGTACGGATTAGCGTGTAAAGGATTATCATGTATTACGCACGTGTACATTATCTGATCAGAATTGACTAGCGAGATTAGGATTACTCATATGCTAATCGATGAAGCAACGCGTCTTGTAGACTTCTTAATATAATCTCACCGTTGGCCTTCGTCGAGCGGTGGGGTAGCCCAGTGCTTACGATAAGGGTTCGATCAGCATTCGATCGTCACGCAAAGTATGCGTGTTTGATTCCTCATTGGTATTATGTTTATAGCTCTTGCATCGTGATGTGGTTTTAAGCAGGATCAGGTTGGTTGTTTGTTGTTTAACGCCGCACTCGGCAATATTCCAGCTATATGACGGCGGTCATTAAATAATCGAGTTGATTTACGTTAAGATGTATAGTTGTTGTTTGTTTGTTTCTTTGTTGCTGAGGGGGCACGGGTGGCCCAGTCGTCTAAGGCGCCGCGATTCGCTGTGCAGAGTTGCGTCCCTTGGCACGCCAGAAACCTATGATTGTGGGTTCGAATCCCGGTTCGCCCCGATTATGTTTCTAGGTTTGTCAGCACAATACCCGTGCTCGTGGGTTTCACCGAAGTGGTAAACGTCTGAGACCTGCATTACTTCGGGGTTTCCTCCCACATTAAGCTGACACGCCGCGATATGACTGGAATACTGTTAAAAGCGGCGTTAAACCCAACTCACTCACTCTTTGTTGCTGAACGCTGCACTCAGCAATATTCCAGGTATTGATTAATGTTAGGATATTAATAAGATAGTAATAATAAGATATTATTTTATTGATTAATGTAAAGAAATATAGTATTACTTAAACATATACCAAATGATTAAGCTTAAGATAAATAATTATTGATTAGTGTTAAGGTCACGTGTAATACGGCTTTACTATTGGACGAGAGGCCAGTCACATGACAGTGAAACACATTCATGCGGTTTGGACCTCACTCACTGAACATTCACACAACGTGCACATCAAATAATAGTCAATCACCCTCTGCATTATGTAGAATTAGCCGGTGATTATGAATTGTACATGCTCAGTGATTCTTCGAACAAATATATCCGGTACTTCATTATCAAACGCACCTGTGAAGATTCCGGGGTAGAATATGTCTTCAGCAACCCGTGCTTGCCGTAAAAGGTGACTATGCTTGTCGTAAAAAGCGACTTACGGGATCGGGTGGTCAGGCTCGCTGACTTGGTTGATGCATGTCATCGATCCCAATTGCGTGGATGGATGCTCATGATATCAATCTCTGGATTGTCTAGTCCAGACTCGATTATTTACAGACCTTCGTCATATAGCTGGAATATTGGTGAGTGCGGCGTTACACAACAAACCAAGCAAGCAAGCAACCATTATCAAACGCAGAGACAACTTTGAAAAAGGAAGCGTGGTCTTTCTTATTTGGCAATTCGTGATTCCTCATTGTGTTTTTCTGTTGAAATATATAAGAAAATGTATTAATCGTATTGGTGCTATACGTTTAATTCTCGTATACCCAATCACCTAATAAATTTCCGATTGCCCACGCAATGTATTCCCTGCAAGCTCTAATACGCCTTTATACGTAATAAGACCCGTGAAGATCCGGGTTAGAATTCGTCTTCAGCAACCTATATATGGTTGTCGTAAGAGGCGACTAACGGGATCGGGTGGTCGGGCACGCTGGCTTGATTGATGCTTGTCATCGTATCCCAATTGCGTAGTTCGATGCTCGTGGTATCAATCACTAGATTGTCTAGTCCAGACTCGATTATTTACAGTCCGCCGTCATATTGCTGAGTGCGGCGTTAAACAACAAACAAACAAAAAATAATGCGTAAAAAATACTTCTCTGGAATTATTTCATTTCATATGAAACAGTACCTACACACCCAACAAAAGATGTCAATTTGAATATTTCATTATACTAAAAAATATGTCTTTATGTTGTTTTGTTTTGTAAACAATTTAATAAAGATAATATGCATATGAAGGAAATATAACTATCCGTATCAGCCAATATATTTATATATTGGAGGTCGGGTGAATTATAACGGACCTTGCGAACACACTAATAAATATTCTTTAATAACTGTTATAACAATATGTGTTTGAGTACACATTGTCCAAGTGAAATTACAGTAAATTACTTCACAAAAAACATAAATCTATTAATATTTCCTCTACACGTTCCATGGCAAGCAGATCAGTCAAATATATTCACACACCGTCATAAATCCTTCCTCAGACTACAGACGGATATACGAGAGAGTTATGTTGTACTTGTACACACACATATATATATATATATATGGACACCGTTTCACACTGGGCCAATGACATTGATTAATATACTGCTTTCACCACGTCAAGGGTTTAATGCTTGCAGTGCTTTGATTATCGGGGAAAGGGATCATAAAACCTTCAATAAAATATATTGGTTTACATTTAAATAGACCATTATCAAGCGTGGATACAACTATGAGGTTTGCAATTTCTGCTGTACTCCTTTTAATTTTAGTATACCCGATCACCTATAAATTTTCGGATTTCATAAACATATAGAGTGTTTCAAAATAATGTGTGTGTGTGTGTGTGTGTGTGTGTGTGTGTGTGTGTGTGACAACCCCTTATCGCCCAGACACACCCCGCGAAATCAACATCCGCGTATTGTTCTTCTAATTGTATTTTATTGTAATCTGATATATTTCCAATATGATTTTGAATAAAAGCGACAAAATTTATTTCCCACAATCAAAAGAAATACCTATTAAAGGCAGAGTCCACTGTCCGATTCCGACTATATCATGAGCATGTGTTTATGAATCACTATCAAATATCACTTTCCGATTACTCTTTTACAGTATGAACATACAGTATTGGCTATACTGTTTACTCGAAAACGTTTATAATGTACAAATATCATCATATTGATCATGATTAAGATAATATAATGGAAATAAGGTTCACACACGCAAAATTTACTGAGAGGAAATGTTGAAATAACTGACTATGTGTGTATTGGCTATACTGTTTACTAGAAAACGTTTATAATATACGCATATCATCATATTGATCATGATTAAGATAATATACAGGAAATAAGGTTCACACACGCAAAATATACTTAGAGGAAATGTTGAAATAACTCACTGTGTGTTTATCGTGCCTGGTAATGAGGAAGAAATGTGATAATTATTAAATACACATCAATACGACTCCTTCTGTCCATACTCAAACATATTGTCTTTACACGTCAAGTGCCTGCTTAGCACTGCGTGAGTGATATATGTTTACTTATAACCGACCAAGACGACCGGTGGCCTGTCCGAGGACATATTTAACACCTACCTATCTATGTACATAGTAGAATATATAACGAGAAAATAGTCTTACCTGGTGTGTGTCTCAGCCTAAACTCGGAACGACCACATATTAAATCCCAGTAACGACAACACAATACGACTCTATAAACTCGACAACCTCAAAGTTTGTTTGCCGAAGGTCGCCGACATTTGCCGATAGCTTCCCTAGTTACGGGGCGCGTTGAAACCTGCGTTGCTGATTGCCCATTGACAGAAATCCCCGATGCATGCAGTTATAGTAGATCTATATAAAGCCTGAGGATAGCTCTCTGACCGCCATGTCACGAGTTACTCAGCTGAAAGGAAGAGATAGTTGACTGGGGTTTATAATGTGGACCTGTGCTGACACTACGTGTGTGTCTGTGTCAATCTCTAGCCTCTGCGGCTCTCTGTCGGCCCATACATCTATATACTGGACTCTGTCGAAACAGGATTTTCTAAAATCAGTACAGGGTATGGTGACCCAACGTAATTCAATGTGTATAAAGTTATGTAAACGCGCAAGGATCAGTTAGTCATGGGTTCGAACCCGAAATTCTTCCCGTTTTTTTATCCCTGGTCGACCAGTACGATACCTTTCCTCGTAGGTTTGACCAATTAAAGTTGGTTGGTTAGTTTGTTGTTTAAGGCCGCACTCTGCACCATTCCAGCTATATGACGGCGGTCTGTAAATAATCGATTCTGGACCAGACAATCCAGTGATTGAAAACATGAGCATCGATCCAAGCAATTGGTATATGATGACATGCATCAACAAAGTCAGCGAGCCTGATCACCCGATCCCGTTAGACGCCTCTTACGACAAGCATAGTCGCCTTTTATGGCAAGCATGGGTTGCTGAAGACCTATTCTACCCCTGATCTTCACGGGTTGACAAATTAAAGTGGTAATTATCTACGATTTGCATAACTTTGACTTTCCACATTACACTGAACGCCGTTTATAGATTTGTCGCAGGTTAATTTTTACTAATCTGTTATCAATCAATTATGTCACCAATCTTTTTCCACACCTAAGGTTGGCATGAACAGTCCACCTTAACTGTGGTCTTCCAGGTACATCCTGGGCCCTGGTACAGGCAGTCCCTTCAAATGATGTGGAGGCAAATCACATGACTGTCCTATAAAGACTACATATGCTAGGAGCCCAGCACACACCAGGCCACATAACATTTCATTTCCTATATTTACAGGTATGTTGAATGAGTTGAGTGAATGCTCTTTTAATCTTTTTACCCAATCGAGATCGATAGGTTACATGTTCCATGTGTGAATTATATTATGCCAGATAACTGTTTAATTATTGAAATAATTATCAATAATATACTAGTTAAAATAACTCCATGGTCAGTGTGAACACGCACCAAGCCGGACCACCAGGCCACATAACATTTCATTTGTTGTATTTACAGGACTTTTCTGTAGCCAAATAAAACCTCAGCCCAGTGTCACGTTCCTGTGACAGATCAATATAGAAATATACCGCCCGTTACTGAAACCATTCTGGATACAGCAACTTTTTATATTTCGATCCAATATAAAATAAGAATCAACAACTTTGATTCATGCCACACTTTCAGTAGTTTCAATGTTTGTTTATTTTTTGTTTAACGCCGCACTCAGCAATATTCCAGCTATATGACGTCGGTCTGTAAATAATCGAGTCTGGACCTGACAATATCCAGTGATTGACATCGTGAGCATCAGTCCACGCAATTGGGATAGGTTGATATGCATCGACCAAGTTAGTGAGCCTGACTACCTGATCCCGTTAGTCGCCTTTTACAAGCATAGTCGATTTTTACGGCAAGCATGGGTTACTGAAGACCTATTCTACCCCGGATCTTCACGGGTCGAACTCAAAGAAAATCACTCGATAGACGGATTGCTGTAGTGGTCAGGAAAGAGGGGGTCTAAGATGTAGCCACCCTCAGATCCAGCATGACACCCCAGAGTACACTTAAACCGGTCGGGCATGGTCCACTTTAAAACAAATGTGTGCAGGACATTGTTTATTTCGTGAGTAAAGGTACGGGTGTTTCGGGTAAGTATGTAACTTAACTTTTGGGGAGGCGCATGATTCTTATTTTCCTTCCCAGTCCCTTACCTCCTTCCACATCATAATTTACCCCAACTTTGATATAATGTGAGGATGTCAGCGGTATGTGAGTGAGTGAGTGAGTTAATTCAAAGTCACATCGGCAATATTTCAGCCATATCGTGACTTGAACAAGTTATGCAGTTATATTATAGATTTATATAAAAGCTGTCAACGAAGGACAGTATAACAACCAGCAATACATCACAGAACATAAGTGTAAAACTAGTTTTAGAACAATTAAATGATTTGACTACAACAGACGACACATTATAAAAACAGGCTATTAATCACCAACAACTAAAGTTAGGCCACCATACTAGGGACCAAGGGGACTTACAGTACCTTAGCTACCTACAAGGTTCCGTAGCAGGATTTACACCATTCCTTTAGTTATTGGCGACTGTTGACGAGATTAGCCGAAAATTAAAATATACAAATATTCTACGTTTAAAAACAGTGATAGATAAATTACTTTGAATGAAGTGGTCTAACATATCCTCTCAGGGGGACAATAATTTGTCAGCGGTATGTATAATGTATTTATAGAATTTGTGGTCGAAGGTTATATACTTGACCGCAAAAGAAACGTCACCCCAATTAACATCCTATGTCGAATGCAGAGCGTGCAGCGTGTTTGTATTTCTTTGTTTCATTGCAAGCTCAGATCAGAAGCGCTAATGGACCCGTGAAGATCCGGGGTAAAATAGGTCTTCAGCAACCCATGCTTGCCGTAAAAGGCGACTATGCTTGTCGTAAAAGGCGACTAACGGGATCGGGTGGCCAGGCTCGCTGACTTGGTTGATGCAGGTCATCGATCCGAATTGCGTGGATCGATGCTCATGATGTCAATCACTGGATTGTCTGGTCCATACTCGATTATTTATAGACCGCCGTCATATAGCTGGAATATTGCTGAGTGCGGCGTTAAACAACAAATAAACAAACAAACAAACAGAAGCGCTTATGTAACAATTGTATTGTTATTGTTGCTCATGCTAACCGGGGACGTATATCCAAATCCTGGACCACCGAACCGTGACAACACTGACCAGTCACTGTCTATATTTCACCTAAATGCTAGAAGTATACGTAACAAACTCTCTTATTTGAGTGAATACCTTTCAGATTGCAGCGTCGTTTGTTTTACCGAGACACACCTAGATGACAGTATTAAAAATGAAGACTTGAGCTGGGAATTTTTTTACGAACCGGTACGAAAAGACAGAAATATGTTCGGTGGTGGTGTTATGATATATGTAAATAAGCTGTTATCTTTTAACAGAAGACATGAATTAGAAAACATGCAAGACGAATCGATATGGATTCAAATATGCTTACCTCAAAGCTCAGTTTTATTGTGCTCTGTCAACAGACCTGAACATAATTCAGTGAACTTTTGGTCTCGCTTAGATGATAGCATTGAAAATGCCCTGGATATTTCGTGCAAGATTACTATTTTTGGTGACATATATGAAAATATGTTATCGTCTAGGATCTTAAACGTAAATGTATTACTAAATAGGAAAAATCTACACAATAACATAACCGAGGCTACCAGAATTACTGACCATACCAGTAGTTTATTGGATCCTATTATTATCAGTGAAGATATAAAAGTCATCGACAGTGGTGTAATTGATTTTGATAGTAAAATTAGCGACCATAGGGGAACTTACATTGAAATAGACACTGATTTGCGAACAAAATTAGCATATAAAAGAGAAAGTTCATGTTTTAAAAATGGTGACTATGATAAGCTCAATTCGCTCATTGAAAATACTTGCTGGAATGAATTATTTAATCAAAATTCAAATGTTGATGTAGCATGTAATCTGTTCTATAAATACTTGAATAAATATGTTAAAATATGCATTCCAACCAAAGTAGTAACCATTCGTCCAAAGGACAAACCTTGGTATGATTTCAGTTTAAGACGAGAATCCAGGAAAAGATATAGATTAAAAAGAAGGCTAGAAAAAGTAATAAGGAAAACGACATTGGGGCCTATAAAAACCAGAGGAACAAAGTAAATAACATGAAATGTCACGCTAAAGATCATTTTTTACTCAAACCTCGACGAATTGCTATCAGAATTGCATGCAGAAAACAAACCCTCCTACTGGAAAGTTTTACGTTATGTTGTGAAGAACTCTGGCTCAGCTAACAACATAGCCGCTCTTAAAAAGTATGATACGGACGAACACCCGACATTTTTTACTGATATTGAAAAGGCAGAGAAACTGAATAAATATTTTCAATCTATATCTAATGTCTATGATACAAAAACAACTATGCCCGACTTCACATTTCGTACAGAGACAGAGATGAACAACAAAGTCATATCTAAAAAGGAAATTGAAGACATAATACAATGTTTGCCTCAGAACAAAGCCTCCGGACCGGACAAAATTTGTCATAAATTATTAAAGAAAACTGTATATTCTATAAGCGAAGCATTGTGTTTACTGTTCAATATGTCCCTACAATCAGGTATATTTCCATCAATGTGGAAAAAAGCAAACGTTATGCCATTATTTAAGAAAGGTGATCACACTATCGTTTCTAATTATAGACCGATATCACTCATTAGCTGTTTAGGAAACTTGTTTGAGAGAGTTGTGTTCAAACATTTATATAATTACTTTCATGAGAACAAATTGTTGTATAAGTACCAATCTGGGTTTCAGGCTGGTCACTCAACTGCCCATCAACTAATAGAACTTTACCACCAAAATTGTACAGCGTTAGATAACAAAGAAAACTATTGTATTGTATTATGTGATGTATCAAAAGCCTTTGATCGTGTATGGCACAATGGGCTTGTGTATAAATTAGAGAGGTATGGTATAAAAGGCCAATTGTTAAAATGGATTACCAGTTACATAAGTAATCGTAGTCAAAGCGTATTTGTGAATGGGGAAATATCCAAATCAAGATACATGAAGGGGTCCGTGCTTGGTCCTTTACTCTTTATTGTTTATGTAAATGACATTGCTGATAAATTAGACTGTATGACAAGACTGTTTGCCGACGATACATCGATTGGCATGTCATCCAATGATAACAGTGTACTGGAACGTTCCTTAAGCAAAGATTTAGCAATCTTAAGTGAATGGGCGAAACTTTGGCTCATAACTTACAATCCCGAAAAGACTAAATCGGTTCTATTCTCTCGCAAAGACAAAAATGGAGGTCTAAAACTATATTTCAACGGAAAAGAAATCAGCTCTGTAAACAGTCATAAGCACTTGGGTGTTATACTTGAAGCCAGTCTTGTCATATATGATACCATAATTAAAACAACTTCCAAGATGATTTACTCAATGAGAAAACTCGAACATCTACTTCACAGAAATACTATTAACAATATATATAAAATGTTCATAAAACCACACTTTGAATACGCATGTGAGGTTTGGGATGGTTGCACCGAAGGACAAAGTGAGAAATTAGAACAATTACAATTAGAAGCTGCACGCATTGTAACTGGTCTACCTAAATATGCCCCCAGGCATTCATTATATTACGAAACCGGTTGGGAACCCTTAGTTGAGCGTAGAAAGAAACGTAAACTTTGTCTTTTCTTCAAAATTAATCATAACATGGCCCCTTCCTATCTAACAGATATTCTACCCAAAACCGTTGCTGCAAAAAACTCATACAGTCACAGAAACTCTGAAAACATCAGTGTTTCCTCTCACAAGACTAAGACATTCGTGTGAACCCTTTTACCCATCGTCTATCCGATTGTGGAACTCTATTCCGTTATCAGATCAGATCTTGTTTTAAAAATTCGTTACCAAAGCACCACCCCAAGTCACCTGCGTACTTCGCTTATGGAAAATGAAAATATAATATCTTACACACAAAACTGAGATACATGTGCAGTCAATTCAATTATGATTTATATAGAATTGGTATAAAAGATCACCAGAACTGTACATGTTCGAATACATGTGAAAATGCATATCATTATCTCATGGAATGTACATTGTTTAGTCATCAGCGTGAAATTATGTTAAAGAGCCTTAAACATATTGTTCATAACATACCTGTTAATGTACACTTACTGTTATACGGCAATGCAGATCACGTTGTTACAGAAAATGAAGCTATATTTAAGGCAGTACCACATTATATATGTACAACTAAAAGATTTGTGTAAAGAGTGAGTGAGTGAGTGAGTGAGTGAGTGAGTTGGGTTTAACGCCGCTTTTAACATTATTCCAGTTATATCACGGCGTGTCAGCTAAATGTGGGAGGAAAGCCCGAAGTGATACAGGTCTCAGACGTTTACCACTTCGGTGAAACCCACGAGCACGGGTATTGTGCTGACAAACCTAGAAACATAATCGGGGCGAACCGGGATTCGAACCCACAATCATAGGTTTTTGGCGTGCCCAAGGGACGCAACTATGCACAGCGAATCGCGGCGCCTTAGACGACTGGGCCACCCGTGCCCCCATTTGTGTAAAGAACTGTTCATTCAACAATATATATATATATATATATGTCAAAGTTTCTAAAATTTAACATTACCTTGTCCGGAAAAATGACATTTGATGATAAAACAAACAAACAAAGCAAATGACAATAAAACCGATCGCCAAACGCACCACGACAACGGCCATGGTAACCCTACGCACGTGACTTCCGTGCAAATTGAAATGCACATGCGTTCCCCCATTTCTGGCCCTATAAAAATCCCCCCAAATCGGATAATATTCATTCGTTATTGAATTGCTACCACATGCCAAGATTGACAAGAAATCAGTGACGCCAAGCCCTTGGACGATTGCAAGCTGGACAAACCGCCCGGCAAGTAGCCAATGCATTTCAAGTCGACGTAAGGACCATATACAGGCCAGACTACTAACACTAAGATATGATGGACCACGTAGTGGAAGACCAAGGGTCACCATCCGACGACAGGATCGTCAGATTGTGCGACAGCATCTTCAACATAGCTTAGTTACTACTGCGGAAACTGCTCGACGGACCATTGGGACACACCAGCCACACATTAGTGCGGACACCGTGCGTCGACGATTGACGAGCAGACACATCCACTGTCACAGGCCACACCGAGGACCCATTCTGACACCACGTCATCGCCGGGACCGTCTTCAGTGGACAACACAGCACCAGCATTGGCGCCATCAGCAGTGGAGAAGAGTCCTCTTGTCAGACGAGAGCCGTTACTGTATCTCAACAGCAGATGGCAGATGGTAAATTATCGAGTCAGGACCACACAGTCCAGTGATTGACATCATGAGCATCGCTCCAAGCAATTGGGATACGATGACATGCATCAACCAAGGCAGCGAGCCTGACCACCCGATCCCATTAGTCGCCTTTTACGACAAGCATAGTCGCCTCTTACGGCAAGCATGGGTTTGCTGAAGACCTATTCTACCCCGGATCTTGACATGGCGTTTCTTTGTCTATTGTTATAATAACGAAGAAATGCCACATCGTCGCATTGACTTGACTGAAAAAAGCGACACATGTATAACTTCCCACCACACATTAATATTTAATTATGTATATTTGGAGTCGCATCGATTTAAGGTGAACGAAAAGTGATACATAAGGCTCACTTATACTGATTGTTACACATTAAACTTTAAACCCTCATCGATCAGTTTGTATCGGTATACGACTTGGATGTATGGCCGTCTCAAGTAACCCATGTTTGCCGAAAAAGGAGACTATGCTTGTCGTAAGAGGCGACTAACGGGATCGGGTGGTCAGGCTCGCCGACTTGGTTGATGCATGTCATCGTATTATAATTGCGTTGATCGATGCTCTTGACATCAAAAACTCGATTGTCTGGTCCAGACTTAATTATCTTCAGCCCAAATTCTTCTGCCCGCTGTTTCAGCGGGGGAGTTACAGTATCTTTGCTTTGGGTCCTGTCTGCCAAGCACGGCGGAGGGACAACTTGATAGGGTCTGTATGCAATTTCCGCCTCCGCCTGCATCATCCCACAAAACATCTTTGGTTAACTTGGTTAAACATAAACAACAAACACAAACTATAAACCACAGATTGTAAGGCTACAACACAAAAACTGAAATGTACGCTGTCATATACTGACGTGGATGAGAAGAAACGAAACACATAATCAATAATAGCTCCGCTATAAATATTTTCAAAACCGCAGGCAGCACTGATCTTGGCCGAGAGTTCAAACACACGGGCATCGTCGACATGGCTGACGCTGTATGGTTCATGAGGCGCTGCGTGTTTGGGATCTTTATGTTCACCCTTATGTCGGTGACATATGTTCAAAGTCTTTGCAGTCGTCAGAACATTCCAGGGGCACTTTCAGGGGAAAGAAGTGGCTTTCCCAGTCGTTTCACAGATGGATCAGATTTTATGAAGTGTGTTTCCAAATGTCTTGCTAAACGTTTCTGTGAATATATTGTTTTTGAATTGGGAAGATGTCGGCTGAGTATTAAAGACTACGGGTATCCAATGACGATTTTTCCTCAGGTGAGAATGAACTAAGCGCATTTGTCCATTTGTTCTTCTTTCGTTTTAAAATTTTGATATTCCGTCTGTGATTCCAAAATCAGATGGTTCTTATTGCTTTTGTGCGGAAGCGATACTTTTTTTCTACCCTCGTTGTACAGGTACCACAGAATGCACCTTAGTTCGGTTTAGTCCATTCGTCCGTCTGTATTTCGTTTCCGGAGCATAATTTGAAAACCGTGAAAGATTTTTCATCTAAACTTGGTTTTTCGTTCGTTTGTTTGTTATACAGAATATAAGCCTCGCCCATTTAATCAAACCAAGTGACCCTTGTAGTCGCTTTATGGACCCGTGAAGATCTAGGGTAGAACAGGTCTCCAGCAACGCATGCTTGCCGTAAGAGGCGGCTTAAGGGATCGGTTGGTCAGGATCGCAGACTTGGTTGATGCATGTCATCGATCCCAATTGCGTGGGTCGATGCGCATTATATTAATCACGGCATTGTCTGGTCTAGGCTCGATTACTTACTGACCGCTGGAATGTAGCGGCGTTGAGCAAAACCAAACCAAACCATCAAACACCCTGGGAAGCGATCAAAATCCAGTTTCTATTGAATGCAATAGAAGAGAACTGATTTTACATCTGAGCATCTTCCCGAGGCAAGAGAGTTAACTGACTTTAAAAGTCCATTTTCCACCCTTGCCGAAATTCCTTGGCTCGAGCGTAGCGCCACCAGTGGCTATGACGAGTCATGTCCTCTATGTGCCTCTCCTATGGACCAATCAGATTGAACCTCTCGTATCACTTGCATTTGCTTCAAACAAAATGGACCTGTGAAGATCCGGGGTAGAATAGGTCTTCAGCAACCAATGCTTGCCGTAAAAGGCGACTATGCTTGTCGTCTAAGCGTCGTGAGGGTTTAACGTCGTGACGTGTGTGTGTGTGTGTGTGCTAGCTCCAGCCCACTGAGAAACCATGCCGCGGATTTAACATGGATACCAAACTTCAACACAGCCGAACAGTCCTTGTTTTACTGGCCGAGCGATGGGGAGAGTAACAATATCTTTTAACGATTTTTGGTGTGATCGGGGATCGAACCGCCACTGTAGTGCATTTAGTGAAACCTCATTGTGGTCTCTTCCCCGCCACACACACACACACACACACACACACACACACACACACACACACACACAGTTCAGTCAACGCGTATGTTGACGGGGAAAGTAGCTCAGATTGAAGACGAAGAATACATTGAGTCCAAACTTCTTTAGTCGACAATTAAACAACCTTGTACAATTACTGATGGAAAGAAATATGTCGGGCGGAGATTCCAAAACAACTACTACAAGGCAAGTCCAGTAAGCAGGCGTATACTCCTCGCGGTTGTACGTACATGTGCTGTCAGAATACCAGTAGAGACGTAACCGCCGTAAGAGGCGACTAATTAGGATCGGGCAGTCAGGCTCGATGACTTTGTTGATGCATGTCATCGTATCCTAATTGCGTGGATCGAGTCTCATGATGTCGATCACTGGATTGACTGGTCCAGACTCGATTATTTATAGACCGCCGTCATATAGCTGGAATATTGCTGCGTGCAGCGTTAAACAACAAACTTGCGCGCACTTGCTTATTCTACCCCGGATCTTCACGGGTCTGAATCTCTGATGTCGTTATGGCAATACTAGATTCAACATGATTATTTATCAAAACGTAAGGATTCTCCCGTTTTTGTATCCTTGTGAGGGGAGAATCACAATGACTCTGTTGATTTTTCTATTCATCCATAAAGGATCTATTAAATAATATAAGTTGTCATTTAATTAATTTGTTTTCAAAGAAATTAATTTAATTGAAACTGCCCACTATACAGTCTAAAACAACAACGTAATGGTCCACTTGGCAGCTAATCTGGCGACACACTCTAATGGATTCGACAGTAGTGGCACGGCTAGCGACACACTGTAATGGGTTCGACAGTAACGGCATGGCTAGTGACACGCTCTGTCTAATGGATTCGACAGTAACGGCATGGCTAGCGATACGCTCTGTCTGATGGGTTCGACAGTAACGGCATGGCTAGTGACGCTCCGTCTACTAGATTCGACAGTAACAGCATGGCTAGCGACACGCTGTCTAATGGGTTCGACAGTAACGGCGTGGCTAGCGTCACGCTGTCTAATGGGTTCGACAGTAACGGTATGGCTAGTGACACGCTGTCTACTGGGTCTGACAGTAACGGCATGGCTAGCGACACATTCTGTCTAATGGGTTCGACAGTAACGGCATGGCTAGCGACACACTCTGTCTAATGGGTTCGACAGTAACGGCATGGCTAGCGACACACTATGTCTAATGGGTTCGACAGTAACGGCATGGCTAAGGACACGCTATGTCTAATTTGTTCGACAGTAACGGCACGGCTAGCGACACACTGTCTACTGGGTTCGACAGTAACGGCATGGCAAGCGACAGGCGGTCTAATGGATTCGACAGTAGCGGCACAGCTAGCGACACACTCTAATGTGTTCGACAGTAACGGCATGTCAAGCGACAGGCGGTCTAATGGGTTCGACAGTAGCGGAACGGCAAGCGATACAGTCTAATGAATTCGATAGCAGTGGCACAGCTAGCCACACACACGGGCTAATGTATGCATATGTATGTTGTTTAACGCCGCACTCAGCACTACTCCACCTATATTACGACAGCCTGTGACCAGACAATCCAGTGAATGATATCATGAGCATCGATGACATTCATCAACCAAGGCAGTGAGCCTGACCACCCGATCCCGTTAGTCGCCTCTTACGAAAGGCATGGGTTGCTTAATTAAGACCAAATTCTAACCCGTATCTTTACGGGTCCTGAAATGAAAGATTGGGTGGTTGGTTGGTTTGTTGTTTAACACCGCACTTCAGCAATATCCAGCTATATGACGGCGGTCTGTAAATAATCGAGTCTGGACCAGACAATCTAGTGATTGATATCATGAGCATCGATCCACACAATTGAAATGAAAGAGGCAGGATAAGCTGACTATCTGATAGTGATTCATAAAGATATGCTCATGATATAGTGGGAATCGAAAAATGGACTTCGTCAGATATTATTTATGATCGTGGAAATGTATTTTGTCGCTTTTATTTACATAAACACCAGTCTCTTTAGGCTGCTTGAAAGTAGCTTTGCAAGGTCCCTAAATGTTGAAAACACACATGAAGCTTGATATTTCTTACATCTATTAAAACCTGCGATGATACAGTCGGAATCGAACAATCGACTCTGGGGATATCCTTTTTCGCGTTTCTTTTGATTGCAAACCACGAGTTTTGCTTTCTTCCTATGTAAAAGCTTCACAAATTTCAACATTCCTGTCACATTTCACAATATTGTTAAATTAAAGAATTCGAACATACCCTATATAACATTTTGTTTGAATTTCACCTCAAACCCAATTTAACTTTTTTATTTAATTTCACGTCAAACCCAAAAAGCTGCCAAAGTATACCTCATGATCTCTGATATATCTCGACATGGATGTAGATGTTGACACATTGATTTTCATATCATATTTCAGCGGCTTATGTACTTTCACGCAAGAAAATATCGGTCAAAAATACGGACCACAGGAAAAACCCAGGTAAGGATATGCTTATTGATATTATTGAATCTTAAAAATCTTATCTGAAAAAGCCGCGATGTTCTTTAGCTGGACAATTGCTCTAGACAACTAACAGGTTATTCTTATTTGGGACTGATGAATTGATTTGTTTTTGTTTGTTTGCTGTTAACCGCCGCACTCAGCAATATTCCAGCTATATGACGGCGGTCTGGACCAGGCAATACGGTGATTGACATCATGAGCATCCATCCACGCAATTGGGAACGATGGCATGCATCAACCACATCAGCGAGCCCGGCCACACGATCCCGTAGGTAGTCTCCTTTTTCGGCAAGCATGCGTTGCTGAAGACCTATCTATTCATCGGACCTCGATCTTCACAGCTGTCGGACTGACCAGCCGATATTCGGAACCCCCCGACTGTCCAGTCCAGTTACTATCCCTCCGCCGTGCTTGGCAGACAGGACCCAAAGCAAAGATACTGTAACTCCGCCGCGGAAACAGCGGGCAGAAGAATTTGGGCTGAAGATAATTGAGTCTGGACCAGACAATCGAGTTTTTTATGTCAAGAGCATCGATCAACGCAATTATATTAGTATCATACGATGACATGCATCAACCAAGTCGGCGAGCCTGACCACCCGATCCCGTTAGTCGCCTCTTACGACAAGCATAGTCGCCTTTTTCGGCAAGCATGGGTTACTTGAGACGGCTATGCATCCAAGTCGTATACCGATACAAACTGATCGATGAGGGTTTAAAGTTTAATGTGTAACAATCAGTATAAGTGAGCCTTATGTATCCCTTTTCGTTCACCTTAAATCGATGCGACTCCAAATATACATAATTAAATATTAATGTGTGGTGGAAAGTTATACATGTGTCGCTTTTTTCAGTCAAATCAATGCGACGATGTGGCATTTCTTCGTTATTATAACAATATACAAAGAAACGCCATTTCAAGATCCGGGGTAGAATAGGTCTTCAGCAAACCCATGCTTGCCATAAAAGGCGACTATGCTTGTCGTAAAAGGCGACTAACGGGATCGGGTGGTCAGACTCGCTGACTTGGTTGATACATGTCATCGTATCCAAATTGCAATAAGTCTTCAGCAACATATGCTTCCCGTAAAAAGGCGACTAATGGGATCGGGTGGTCAGGCTCGCTGACTTGGTTAACTGGAATATTGCTGAGTGCGGCGTTAAACAACAAACCAAACCAATTGCTTGGAGCGATGCTCATGATGTCAATCACTGGATTGTCTGGTCCAGACTCGCTTATTTTACAGACCGCCGTCGTATAGCTGGAATATTGCTGAGTGCGGCGTTAAACAATAAAACAACCAACCAACAACAACATAAATCCTGCTGGGAATCATGCAGGAAGCAAAAGCACTGTAAGTTCCCGTGATCCCCAGTTAGGAGGTCTAGCTTTGTTTTCTTTGAATGCTTTGATTTTATTGTGAACTGGTTTGTTTTATACCTTAGCTGTGATACATGACTTACTGTTTTACTGTCCTTTGTTGACAGGTATTTAATAATAATTAACTTCTTTTCATCGCAATATGGCTGCAATATAGCCGATGCAATGTAAAATTTTAACTCACTCACTCACTATTTTGTCGCTTTTACTTAACACCAGTCTCTTTAAGCTGCTTGAAAGTAGCTTTGCAAAGGTCCCAAATGTCCCGAATACACACATGAAGCTTGATATTTCTTACATCTATTAAAACCTGCGATGATACAGTCGGAATCGAACAATCGACTCTGCGATATCCTTTGGGTCAAGGAAACGTTTTTTCGCGTTTCTTTTGATTGCAAACCGCAACGCGTTTGGCTTTCTTCCAATGTAAAAGCTACACAAATTTCAACATTCCACAATATTGTCAAATTAAAGAATTCGAACATACCCTATTTAACATTTTGTTTGATTTCACCTCAAACCCAATTTAACATTTTGTTTTAATTTCACCTCAAACCCCAAAAGCTGCCAAGGTATACGTCATGATCTCTGATATATTTCGACATGGACGTATATAGATGTTGACGCATTGATTTTCATATCATATTTCAGCCGCGTAGGTACTTTCACACAAGAAAATATCGGACAAAAAATCGGACCACAGGAAAAACCCAGGTAAGGATATGCTTATTGATATTATTGAATCTTGGCACGATGGCATGCATCAACCACATCAGCGAGCCCGGCCACCCGATCCCGTAGGTAGTCTCCTTTTTCGTCAAACATTTTTTGTTTTTTGTTTAACGCCGCACTCAGAAATATTCCAGCCATATGACAGCGGTCTGCAAATAATAGAGTCTGGACCAGACAATCCAGTGATTGACAACATGAGTATCGATCTTCGCAATTGGCAACATGCATCAACCAAGTCAGCGAGCTTGACGACCTGATCCCGTTAGACGCCTTCAACTGCAAGCATGGGTTGCTGAAGACCTATTCTACCCCGGATCTCCTCCGCAAATGAGCACATTTGCAAACACATTTTTAGATTAAGAAATATATTGTCAGCACTCTTTTTAAGGCATTTTTTTATCATAAAAATTTGGAAATATTGTCACCATTTATCTTTTAGATCATTTTGAACGTTACTTGAATTCGGCGTTCTCCTGTTTTCGGAGTTTCTAATTCTCGCGTTATTGTCCGAGAGCACATGCTGTGTCAGAGGTAACCGGGTGATATTTTCGTCAGCATGTCCCTTCGACCCTCCATATGGAAATGAGGAAGGTATTCTTGCTATAGTTTCAAAGACGTTGAAATAGCCTCTAGAAACTTATTACAAATCGAATCCTTTTTAAAATTGTTGAAAATCGCTGTACTGAACTTCTAAAAATTTGCCTTTCGTCTTCGTCTGCTAAGTTAACCATGTTGGGCAACAATATATCACATGACTGACGTCAACAGATGATGCGCGGTTAAAAAAATATGGAAACGTTTTCGTGACATCTAATACTATTTTTACCATTTGTTCAAAGATATTTCTTTATCTTTTTTTCGACCCGTGAAGATCCGGGGTAGAATAGGTCTTCAGCAACCCATGCTTGCCGTAGAAGGAGTCTATGCTTGTCGTAAAAGGCGACTAACGGGATCGGGTGGTCAGGCTCGCTGGCTTGGTTGATGCATGTCATCGATGCTCATGATATTAATCACTGGATTGTCTGGTCCAGACTCGATTATTTACAGACCGCCGTCATATAGCTGGAATATTGCTGAGTGCGGCGTTAAACAACAAACCAACCAATCAACTTTATCTTTTTTCAGACCAGTTAGACCATTCGTGGTCATTATATATCAAATAATGCCAATAAACTTGTATCCGCAGCGGGGTGGGCTGTTCCAGTTTCAACGCTTGAAGACCGTCTTCTTGGAAATGTCAGCCTCGATACTGTCAAGTCGGGGCCGATGCCGTTATTTACAGCAACACAGAAATAATTCTTGGCCAGTCTCAGTCGGGTTATGGGGGAGATTGGCTATGGTTACACTCGTCAGGAGACAATCAACCTGGCGGATATCGGGATCGTTCTCATCCATTGAGCTTACGGTGGTTGTACAGCTTTATTGATAGATGCCAGAACTTAAAGTCCAGAAACCACGTAAACTGGAGGGTGCAAGGGCGAGATTAGGGTGCAAGGGCGAGATTGGCGACCAAGGGGAACAATGCGGGGTATTTTTAAGAGCTAGTACAGGTGATAAAGAAACACAGCTTGGACAATTCTCCCAATGCTATCTTCAACATCGATGAGAAAGGGCTCTCTGCCGACGTTACATCCCCACCCACCCCTCAAGATTGTTGCCAGTGTAAATTGCAAGGAACATGGTCGGTCGGGTAGCCTAGTGGTAAAATAAAGCGTTCGCTCTTCACGCCGAAGACACGGGTTCGATTCCCGACATGGGTACAGTGTGTGGAGCCTGTTTCTGCTGTCCCCCGTTGGATATTTCTGTAATATTGCCAAAAGTGGCGTTAAACCACACTCACTCACTGTAAGGCACAGACCGTGACATCGGGGAAGTATAAAACGATGATTGCAGCTGTCAGTGCAATGGCGGGAATGTTTCTCCTCATTTGTATTTCCTGGTCAACGGATGAGAGAAGAACTGTTGTCCGAAGAAACACCTGGAGCCCCTGGCACTGTATCTGAGACAGGATGGTCGAATACGGACGTATTCTGCACCTACACGAAGGATCACTTGGCTAAATTCCCCCTACTCGTGGCACAAATTCGCCCGCTCTTATATTATATATGACGGCCACAGGAGTCACGTACGTGTCACTTGATTCAATTGAATTGGCGATGCAAAAATCACGTCATATTGTTTGTTCTTCCACCTCATACCAGTCACCATTTGCAACCGCTTGATATCGAGTGTTACGGTCCTTTTGAGATCACCTGGATCAGAGCCTATCAATAATTTCTTACAGAAAATTCCGGGAGAGCCATCAGTAAACACGACATATGCATGTAAAGTGTTCAATTCCACTTTGATTGATTGATTGATTGATTGTTGTTTAACGCCGCACTCAGCAATATTACAGCTGTATGACGGCGGTCTGTAAATAATCGAATCTGGACCAGACAATCCAGTGATTGACATCATGCGCATCGATCCACGCAATTGGGATCGATGATATGTATCAACCAAGTCAGCGAGCCTGACCACCCGATCCCGTTAGTCGCCTTTTACGACAAGCATAGTCGCTTTTTATGGCAAGTATGGGTTGCTGAAGACCTATTCTAGCCCGGAATCTTCACGGGTCTGACGCCTAAAAACATTGAACACCCGTTGAACTCCGATGTTGTTGATGACTTGCTTGTCATGCCTGCCCGTTCTTTTACCAGGACCCCGCCGTCTGATTCAGAAGGATTTTCTGTAATGTCAGGGTGGTTAAGTCTTGAAAATATGTTAAAATGTTTAATACAAGGAATACACTGAGTAAAATCGTCCGTGGGAAAGTAATAACTGACCAGAACAAATTTACAGAGCATCGGGATAGACAGAATAAAGAAGGCAAACAATCCTTGTAAGAGGAAACGGGACAGTCAACGTGATCCATGTACTGACCAGCCTGCAACATCAGGCATGGTTATAGCTATGGGAAAAGGCATTTCTTCCAATAACAACAAAGCCAAGGGGAAGAGATCTAGTCGCGCTGGTACTGCTTCCAAGGCTACGCGCACACCTGTAGTCCCCACCTAATGACAGTTTCACAGACAGCAAGACAGATGATGACGATACCATCACATTTGTAAAGTGGGTAGAGTGCAGTTAATGAGGACATTGGGTACATCTTGTATTTTGCACGAAGTTACGATTTGTCCGCACTCATACACAAATTCTCTGTGCCCACTGTGAGCCAACGGTTTAAGAGTAACATGTCATAAATGTTTTCAAATGTTCCAGTTGGAATGACTCATTCAATATTTCTTAACTGATGGTGGAACTATGTTGAGTGTTGTGTATGAAACATAATTTTGGTTTTCATCAACTGTGCACCATACATTCTTTGTGTGAAACGTTATTGCCGAAAATGGCGGCAGCTAAATTTGAAGAGTGCAGTCAGTAACATCTGAGTGAATATCCTTGGACAGATGTTTGTTGACATTAACAGAATATGAAATGATTTTATTAGAACGTGTATAATTTTACCGCGCACAAATCGTACATTTGAAACCGGGATTTATTGCAGGATATTACAGCGAGGGCCCACCTACCTGAGGAAGGTGGGCTATGTTGAAAGAACGACAAAGACACAACAGTGGATTTAATGGCCGAGGGAGTGGAGGTTCTAAAGGGCTACCCCAATTTAGAAATGGAATAAATACTATTAAAGTCCTAAATGGCATAACCATGCCAGGTCAAATTTCTCTATGTGGCTACTTAAGTCGCCAAACATATTTGTTAATAGATAATTAATGCTATGGCGCAAACGTCACTAACCGACCACAGCTGCGGGTCTAAATGGGAGCGAACGCCGCCAGGCCAAGCTATGTGGCAAATTGCGTTGCTAAATATAATTGTTACTAGATTCCCGAGTGAAAACCCGGGATAAACTGGGTTCCAACTGGTAAGAAGGTAACCCAGTCTGGGTTCCCACTGGAAAACAGGTAACCGGAAACCCTAATTAGTACATATATTAATATAAATTATGATGATATAAGAGGTAGTCCAGAAGAACCACGCCACTCAATGACTTGTTTTAATCACATTGAAAAGATATGTACATGTACACTATTCTGGAGAGATAGATAATTAGATATGTACAATTTGTTGTGCCTGGTACCTGTCATGGACATTAAAGTTGATGAACAATGGAAATGGAAATGGAAAGAAGATAACCGGAAACCCTAATTAGTATATATATTAATTTAAATTATAATGATATAGGCGGTAGCCCAGAAGAACCATGCCACTCAGCACCAAAGTGCTACCCCACACCCAACGGCCGCAAATGATGATACTCGTGCCCCCCATGATTGCCTCACAAGAAAGATGTCTTACTTTTATTATTACCTTACTTGCAAATTGGAACCAAGGCATTATTGATATCCTTGATGAAAACTTGTATCCCTTTAAAACTAAGGTGGGTTCCCTCCCATTGGAACCAGAATCGGTCAGTGGCCACTATTTGGGATGGGGTATAAATGAAAAGTTAGCAACGTCGCGGAGACAATTGGCTAGCCCCCTATTAAGCTTGGACCTGCTCTTTTCCACCTTACGTGGGTCGCGTACGGAGTGCCAGTATCGACGTTGCAGGATGCCAGAAAAACAGACATGGGTATCCTGCAGGTGTGCCTGGATCCGCATGATCGATGTCTCCATATCGAGGAGGAGCTGGCTTGTCTCAGTGGAGCCCAAGTCGTTAGATCCCAGGTGTATGACCACAGCTGAAGGGCTGCGCCGCATTGCCTCCACCTGAGCATCTATTACCCTATCCAGGTCGTTCCACTGTAGACCGCCCCTTACCAACCACAAGATCTTTTTGTGGGGCACCAGCTCCGGGCGCTGTGGGGGATAGCTGTTGCCTTGCCCTTGTCATGAAGCTTGAGCCCACCAGCCAGACTGGAACAAATGTACTGTAGTAGCATTTTGCAGTTATTAGTTTTAGATATTGTTAACTA